TTACATTATAGATTTGTGAATAATTTAGAGAATTGTGATTAAATTAGAGAATTGTGCATAAATTAGAGAAATAGTGATATTGCCACTTAATTAGTTGTGAATAAATTAGAGAATTGTGAATACATTAGAGAATTGTGAATAAATTAGAGAATTGTGAAAACATTAGAGATTTGTGAATATATTAGAGAATTAGTGACGTTGCTAATTTTTGTTTTTTTAATATATAGATTCATATGTGAATTAAAGCAAGAGTTTAATTAGCTTGAGGACTACGTACATATTGAGCTCAAGTGGGTAGTTGCTATATTGGTATGATTACTAAACTTTACTTAGCTATATTTCTTTCTATTCATCCATTTAATAAAAGTTTATTCATGAAATTGCAACTTGTGTATTGTTTAATTGCAAATAAATACAACAATATATAGAATACATGAATTGCATCATCATATGCCTAGGTACCCGTTCAAGGTTTTCTCATTAGGAGAAAGTCTTGAATAGTCCCCGGTTGGGACTGTTCTTGAATGTGTACTCTCATTTAGGTGGTGAATGTATGTTTTCTTTTCGATTTTAAGGAACATCTCGGCTTACCATTTCCTCACTATGTTCTCTGGGTACATATGTGGGTAATTAATTATCTACATTGTGTACTTGGAGAACTAGGGGGAAATGCTGCCGGATTTTCCTTAAAATTGAAAAGTTGACATACATTCACTAGTGAGAGTAGACATTCAAGGATGGGTTAGGTTGGAGTGATAAGGACCCTTTGGAAACATGCATTTTTTCACTCTATGAATGGTATATTCACGTTTTGTACTTGAATTTGATTTACATAAAATATGTAGCACTTACACATTATAATTATATGGTGCTATATATATGTTTAGAGACAATTTACTAAATGAAGAAGGATCGTGGTTGGATGTATGGTAGACGCGATACATTGGAATTTTGGAATGGGGTTCAAGAGTTTTGCGAGAGGGCTTTAGCTTATCAACGCACACTGGGAGGCAAAGGCCTTTATTGTCATTGTGTTGATTGTAATTGTGTGAATGTGGTCGATAGTGTTGAAATCATTAGAGATCATGTATTATGTCGTGGGTTTAGGCAATTTTACCATGTGTGGATTTGGCACGGAGAAAGTGGAAAGTACAGTGGGGATCTTGATCGGAATGATGTGCGTGTTAGAAGCACTGAGATTCATGTGGACGAGGAATACGAGAATGATGAGTATATTGTTGATAATGGTGAGGATGGAGCCGATGAAGATCAGGCGGATGAGGTCGAGGATGAACAAGTGGATGAGATGTTGCAAGGTGTTGAAGGTGAAGTGTTTGAATTATTATCGAAGGCTTCCAAAAAGCCTTTGTATCCCGGGTGCAAAAAATACTCCAAACTATCGGCCGTGCTAACACTTTTCAACATTAAGTCGAAGCATGGGTGGACGGACATCAGTTTTACTTCTTTGTTGACCGCATTAAGTGATATGTTGCCTGATGGGAATGAAATTCCTAAGTCTTATTATTACGCAAAGAAGCTCATGTGTCCCTTTGGTTTGGAGTATAAGAAGATACATGCATGTCCTAATGACTGTATTTTGTATCGAAATGAGTATGAAAAACTACAGGAGTGTCCACGATGCAAGCGGTCGCGGTACAAGCGCATGAGTTGCAATCTTGGCACGGAGGGACCTCCTGCTAAGGTATTGTGGTATCTTCCCATTATTCCAAGGTTTAAGCGTCTGTTCTCAATACCAAAAGACGCTAAAAACTTGAGGTGGCATGCAGAGGGAAGAAAGAAAAACAGAATGTTGAAGCATCCAGCTGACTCTCCACAGTGGAAGAACATTGATTTGAAGTTTGAGGAATTTGGTAATGAAGTCAAAAATTTAAGGCTTGGGTTGTGCACGGACGGGATAAATCCATTTGGCACTCTTAGTACCCAACACAGCACATGGCCGGTACTTTTAGTGATTTATAATTTGCCTCCTTGGCTGTGCATGAAACGTAAGTATGTAATGCTTTCATTGCTAATAACTGGTCCTAAGCAACCTGGAAACGACATAGATGTTTACCTTGCGCCGCTTATTGACGACTTGAGAAAGATGTGGGACAAAGGGGTTTCCGTTTTCGATGCTCATCCGAACGAGATGTTCACATTGCGTGCAGCCCTTATGTGGACCATGAATGACTTCCCTGCATATGGCAACTTGTGTGGGTACAAGGTCAAAGGGAAAAAAGCATGCCCCATATGTATTGATGACACATCAAGCGTATACCTGACTCATTCTCACAAAGATGTGTACCTACGGACTCGAATGTTCCTTAGGCGTGATCACCCGTACCGTAGGCAGAAAAAGGCTTTCGATGGAACCGTGGAAGAGGATACTGCGTCTAGACCATTGACTGGTGCTGAGATTAGTGCTCGGGTGAAAGGGATACAAACGGTGTTTGGAAAATCAGAAAAAATTGTGGTCTCAGCTGCTCTGTTTAAGAAAGAATCAATCTTTTGGAAGCTGTCGTACTAGAGAGAACATGACGTTAGGAATTGTCTTGATGTGATGCATATAGAGAAGAATGTGTGTGATGCTCTTTTGGGGACGCTTATGAATCTCCCAGGCAAAACAAAGGACGAAAAGGGTGCACGGTTAGATTTGCAAGAGATGGGGATTCGTCCAGAATTGTGGCCTCAAGAAAAGGTCAGAAAGGGAAAGGAGCCGAGAATAGAAGATGAAAGTGTTTCGAAAAAGGGGAAGGAGAAGAGCAAGGGAAAGGGAAAGGGAAAGGCCAAAGATGCGTCAAAGAAGAAAGTTAAGGGTAAAGGGAAGGATGAAAAGAATTAATTTACCCCCAGCTTGCTATACATTGTCAAGGGTAGAGAAACGTATGTTTTGTGCATGTTTGTACGGCATTAAGGTTCCATCAGGGTACTCATCTAACATGAAAAGATTTGTAACCTTAAATGGAGAATTGAAGCTGACAAGTATGAAATCCCATGATTGTCACATTATGATGTAAGTATTCCTACCGATTGCAATCCGTGGTATTCTACCGAAACACGTGAGGGAAGCGATTACAAGCCTTTGTTTGTTTTTCAATACAATTTGTAGCAAAGTTCTTGATCCTTGTACACTAGATGCTTTGCAAGCTGATGTGGTTGTGACTTTGTGCAAATTTGAGATGTATTTCCCACCCTCATTTTTTGACATAATGGTTCATCTGGTTCTTCATTTGGTGCGTGAGATTAAGTTGTGCGGTCCAGTGTTCATGAGGTGGTGCTACCCTTTTGAAAGACACATGGGTACATTACAAGATAAAGTACGGAACCGAGCTCAACCTGAAGGAAGTATAATGCAAGGGACAATGGGTGAGGAGATAGGTAACTTTGTGGCGGACTACATAGCCCTTTCTCAACCTATTGTTCTTTCTACTTCTCGACATGAAGGTAGACTTGATGGTCATGGCACAATTGGGTCGAAACGAATGTCACCAGACCGAGATCAGTTCTTACAAGCACACCTTTATGTGTTGCACCATGTTTCAGATGTGCAGCCATAATTAGACGAGCACATGGCTTGTTTGCGTGCCGAATTTCCATCCAAAGGTGAAAGGGCACTTATGCAGTTGCACAATAAGAAATTTGTTGATTGGTTTCGTGAACGAGTAATGAGTGGATTGAATGATACTAATGTGACCGATACAGTATGGTGGCTTGTGTACAGTCCTAGGGATGATGTCCGTTCATTTGAGGGATATGACATCAACGGGTACACTTTTTGGACCGAGGCTCGTGATTTGAAATCTTCCTCCACCCAAAACAGTGGTGTAACTCTTGTGGCATTGTCAAGGGAGTTTGCAAGTTCTAATGATAAATCACCTGTCGATGCAGAGTTGTCATACTATGGTCGAATTCAAGAAATATGGGAGCTTGATTATTGTGACTTCACGGTTGCTCTTTTCAAGTGTAAGTGGGTTGATAATATCATGCGTAACGTCAAACATGAGGACTTTACTCTTGTAGATCTTGGCCACTTGAATGATAGTGCGGAACCATTTATCCTTGCATCTCAAGCTAAGCAAGTGTTCTACGTAACTGACCCAATGGATTCAAAATGGTCTATAGTGCTAGCTGGAAAAAGAAGAATCCTAGGCATTGGAGATGTTGAGGATGAGGAAGAATATGATGCGTTTGATGATTCAGCACCTTTCAATGTTCCTAGACCTGGAGTACTAAATGACATAGACAACGAAGCAGGTTATATGCGATCAGACCACAACGAAGGAATTTCAGAATGAGGTAGTTTGATTAAAAGTTAGTAATGGTTTCATTGCAAATATAGTTTAGTTATCATGTATATAGGAGCATAAGTAGGCGAAAATGATATATTTGTAGTTTGAAATTGCCTAAGTGTACTCATTATCATGCATATACAAGGTTATAGGACCATAAGTAAGTGAAACTGGCATAAATAGCTTCTACTTAACCCAACTCCTTTGTTTTGTGTATGAACTAACATTTATTCATTCTAACAACCTATTTTCCATATGTAGATTGAAATTGGCATTTTGTACTCATTATCATGCATATACAAGGTTATAGGACCATAATAAGTAGGTGAAAATGGCTAAAATAGCTTCTACATAACCATAATAACTATCATGCATATACTTTACTATACACTAATATTGTTTTATGATTGCTTTGACAGGTGCTTATATCTCATGGCGGACGATCATGATCCTCGTTTGGTAGAGGACATTGACGATGATGAGTATGAGGACGAGTACGAGGATGACGACTCCGATGATAGTGATACTCCTTATGATGTGAATAAGGAGGATGACTTGGGTGAGCCAGAGGATCAGGCTCAAGATGAGTTCGAGCGTAGGCTTGACGATTTTGAAATGTCAGCTGAACGTGCACCGGCCATTGTAAATACAGCACGTGAGATTGTTGGTGAGAACCCGACTCCTGAAAGTCAAGGCCAAGGACAAGATGAAAACAACACAAGTGGTGGAGGGGGGGAAAAGGCACCGGCTGAAAGGAAAACAAGGGGTCCGACGAGAAGCTTTAAGAAACCGGACGGTCCCATGGTCTTGGAGTATGACAACAAAGGCCAACCCGGGCCCAAATGGCGTCGACAATATGCTAATCAAGTTGGCTTATGTTCGCGGAAAATCCCCATTACACTTGTAATGCGGCAAGTACCTCCGGGTTTGATTCAAGCATTTTGGGATGATACAAGGGTAAGTGTGTTTTTGGCACATTTAGACAATTTAAGATACCTTAACCTTATGATTGGTTTTAAATAGAAACTAATAATCGGTTTTAATTTGTGCTTGCAGAGGCAGTTTTCTATTCCTAATGATCCCGAGAAGAAAAGGGTGTTTGTCTCTTTATTAGGGGAAAGATTCAGAGGCTTTAAGACCAAGTTGACTAATCGGTGGATCCATAAGAAGAAGAAGGTGCAAACAAAGAAGAAGAATGCCAAAGAGGATAACCGTCTCCCGTGGCAAATATGGTTGACCGTGTCAAAAGATGATTGGGAAGAGTTCGTTAGAATGAAGAGTCAAAAGAAAGCCATTGTAAGTTTGTGTAAATCTGATGTCAATTGAATAATAGCTTGACACTTTTTGTATTAATGAGACTAACATTTTTTGTTTTGTAGGAACTTCGAGAGAAAAATCAAGCGAATGCAGAAAAGAAGGAATACGTCCATCGTATGGGTCCTAAGACTTTTGCTGAAAAGAGACCTGAGTGGGCCGCTTCGGGTTTATACCCTAAAACGCTTCTAGTGGCATCGAAGGAACCCTCTAGTTCCACGATCACTACATTGGTGAGTCGTGCCGGTGATTTCTTTTGTTCTCTCCATTCGTTTGATAAGAAAACCGGAAAATGGTTCATCAAGGGTCCGGAAGCCAAAAAACTGGCAGATAAGCTAGTAAGTTACCAATGAATTGTTGAAATTAAGTCACTTTTGCATTTAATCACTGTACAAACCATTAACTGTTTTACTGACCTCATTTTTCCTTATGTTATAGCTTGAGCACACTCAAGAGATGGTGGAGGGCAAATTTGAACCAAGTGTGGAGAATGACCCTTTCACCATGGCTTTGGGAAGGCCATACCATCCAGGACGAGTAGTAGGTTCGGGAGGGTCATTGCTTGGATGGAATAAGGTGATGGATCCCGAATACACAAAATCGAGTAGATCTCGAGCCAGTGTTAACTCACCGGGGGAGTTGGATGCCAAGGTGGCATCAATTAAGGAACAAGTACGCAACGAGTTAGTTGGTGAATTGAATGCTTGGACGAAGCTGATGAACTTACCGACTTTGCCGTTCCTCACTCGTACCCCGGTCGACTCATGTTCTGAACCAGAAGGACAAGGAGAAGGTGATAGACATGGAGGAGATGAGATACGTGGTGAAGATGTGCCACCTCAGGTAAAATCAATTGGGTTATTAAAAGTTTTAAAATACCGAGTTAATTGAGATTTTAGGTGCAATGATTGATATACTGTTGCAGGTTCCTACTCCTACACATGCGGACTTGAGGGAGCTTGAAAATCCAACACCGCATGAATTTCCAGAGTTACAGGTGATTTGTAACCCTCTACCTTAATGAATTTTGTTATATCTATGCTGTTGTAAAAGTCCTATTTAACTATCTTCTTTTTATATATATACTTGTGTAGGAAGACACCCGGTGTGCACTTCTAGCCCCGGGGCATGCAAATAGTACCGTGTTGAGTTTGGTGGCGTATGGTACTGCCCAACCGACGACGGGTGCTACGGCAGGGCCACATCATTACTCGGTTGGGATCGATTTAGTGGTTGTGGGGTTCAAAGAAATCCCACTACCCGTACCGATAGAGGAGGTTGAGATAACAGCGCTTTGGCAAGCTGTAGGTAGCTTCGTTGATTGGCCACGTGCATGGGTGAAGTTGATTAATAAGGAGGTAAATTAGCTACTTACTTGCCTATTTTCTTCATTTCTCAACTTATAAACTCCTTGCATCTCAAAACAACTCATAATCACATATTTATAAGTGTTTGTCATTTGAAATTACATAAAAATCGCCAAGTTCTAAGTTTTTGGGTCCAATTCATCAAAAAAAGCCATTTTGACCCGAAATGGCTACTCACTTGGCTATTTTCTTCATTTCTCAACTTATAAACTCCTTGCATCTCAAAACAACTCATAATCACATATTTATAAGTGTTTGTCATTTGAAATTACATGAAAATGGCAAGTTCTAAGTTTTTGGGTCCAATTCATCAAAAAAAGCCATTCTGACCCGAAATGGCTACTCACCTGCCTATTTTCTTCATTTCTCAACTTATAAACTCCTTGCATCTCAAAACAACTCATAATCACATATTTATAAGTGTTTGTCATTTGAAATTACATAAAAATCGCCAAGTTCTAAGTTTTTGGGTCCAATTCATCAAAAAAAGCCATTTTGACCCGAAATGGCTACTCACTTGGCTATTTTCTTCATTTCTCAACTTATAAACTCCTTGCATCTCAAAACAACTCATAATCACATATTTATAAGTGTTTGTCATTTGAAATTACATAAAAATTGCCAAGTTCTAAGTTTTTGGGTCCAATTGTAAGTGATTGTGAGTTGAAACTTATTATTTCTCAAACTATTTCAGATTTCCAATGGAAGAAAAACTTCAAAGAGAACGAGGGTGGAGAAGCCTAAAAGAATTGATCAACCTAAGAAGAAGCTAAGTGAACAACAGTCCAAGAGTGAACAAGCGTCGAAGTTGCACTCTTCGAAAGGTTCACACATGCCACCTACTCCACTTGTTGAAGACATTGTTCTTCAATCGCTCTCTACTGACATGACCTTTCTTCACAGCCGTGCTTGTCATTTGGTCGATCCCATGGAATTTGCACTTCCTAACGCAATGTTCCACTATGATGAGGATGCAATTGCATGGATCAGCAAAGAAGATGTGAAGGAATTTCTACGTGGTGCAAAGCTTAACATTTCCCTCATTCAAACATTCATGAGGTACTTCAATGCCCACATAATCTATACTTTTTTCAAGTTATTCAAATTGATGGTGATTATCCTACATCTGATAAATTAATCAATGTTCATGCACGCAAAGCACTACAGGAGCACTTAACTGACACTGATTCTCCTTGTAAAGTTGGGTGGTTATGCCCCGAGCAGTTATCCACTACTAAAATCATAGGCAACCCCCATGACGTGTTGTACTATGTTGAACAGAGTATAAGGGAATCAACGCGTGCGGGAGACAAGTTCATATTCGCCCCATGTTATAGAGAGTAAGTCTAACCATGTCAAATTCAATCGATTTGGCCTCATTATATGTTGACTCCTAAATATTAATTACCTTGTCTATTGTGAACTTATGTAGGGAGCATTGGAGCCTCATGGTGATTTGTAATTCCACTAACACAATTTATCACCTTGATTCAGCTCGATCATCGGAGAAGTGGCTCGTGAAGTCTATATTGCAAAAGTAAATATATATAGCAACCTATAGTGATGATTATTGCTAATAATAACTAATTTAGTAATAATATGACTAATCAAATTTGATTTTATTTTTTTATACTACAGTGTTATGAAGAAGCTACATTGTCGTGCTCCAAAGGGTCCAACATGGAAGACACCGTTGGTAAATTACATGATGTTATTGTGATTATCTTGAAAATCTATGGTAGTAAATATTTGCTTATTTCCTTTGCATGTTTCACTGATGTGATTTGTTTGTCATATGCTAGTGCGCACAACAAGAGAATGGACTTGATTGTGCTTTGTATGTGATGAGATTCATGCTTGACATTGTGACTCATTGTACGGACACTCAACAGCTTGATGAGGTAAGTCCTAAAACTTCTTGAAATGCTATATTGATGTGATTTCACGCCTTAGACACTTAATATTACCCAACAATGGCATGTTATGAGAAACAAAAAAGCTATTTCACAAGAAAGGTAGAAAATGGGCTGAATAGATTCATATGTGCCATGTTAGGGCCATTTTGTGTTAATATGCTCTTTTGATGTGATTTCTTTCCTTATACACATATAACTAGATAATATTGACATGTTATGAGATAAATAAAGTTCATTTAATAAGAAATGTAGGAAATGGGCAAAGTAAGGTCATATAGGCCATATTCGGGCCATTTTGAGTAAAAAGCGTCATAAACCTTAATAAAATGCTCTCCTATACAATTTTAGGGCTTACACACATACAACTACCCAACATTGACATGTTATGAGAAAGAAATAGTTCATTTGATAAGTAATGTAGAAAATGGGCTACATAGAAGTCATATAAGCCCTATTTGGGCCATGTTGAGTAAAATGCGTTGTTAAACTTCTTGAAATGCTATATTGATGTGATTTCTAGCCTTAGACACCTAATATTATCCAACAATGACATGTTATGAGAAACAAAAAGGCTATTTCACAAGAAAGGTAGAAAATGGGCTGAATAGAAGTCATATGGGCCATATTAGGGCCATTTTGTGTTAATATGCTCTTTTGATGTGATTTCTTTCCTTATACACCTATAACTAGATAATATTGACATTTTATGAGATAAATAAAGTTCATTTAATAAGAAATGTAGGAAATGGGCAAAGTAAGGTCATATAGGCCATATTCGGGCCATTTTGGGTAAAAACCGTCATAAACCTTAACAAAATGTTCTCCTATACAATTTTAGGGCTTACACACATACAACTATCCAATATTGGCATGTTATGAGAAAGAAATAGTATATTTGATAAGTAATGTAGTAAATGGGCTATATAGAAGTCGTATAGGTAATATTTGATAAAATACATATTTTTTGCCTAATTAATTATTTTTAAAATAATGTTTTTGTATTTCAAGTTTTGCAAGGTCCAAAAGGATGGTCCGTTGACAATCAAGGAGTTTAATGAAGTTCGTGACATGTTGGCGTCTTTCATCACCTTCAACATGTAAATGGCATGCATTGTAATTGTAAATTATTTATGTTAACTTTTGAACTATATATAACTTATTATTCATTATATATGTGTACTTACTATTATTTGTATATGTAAGCAACTTTTTTTTTTGTATTGCGTTTGGGAATATTTATATCTATATATATATAATTGAATTCTTGTATCTAATATTATTTTTGTATATAATAATTAATAATATTATTATTAGTTATTATAATAATAAAATTATTAATTATTATATTTAATATAATTGCTGGAATTACAGGTTATTATTATTGCAGGTTTTTTTAAAAAAATATTATTGCACGATGGAAAAAAAAAAACGAAAAAAAAAATTATACAAAAGGCACCGGTTAGGCAGGAACCGGTGCCTAAACTATCCACCACCCAAAAAAAATGGCGGGAGAGCAGTATTAGGCACCGGTTAACCGGTGCCTATTCTACCCTATGGCACCGGTTAATCGGTGCCTATTAAACCCTATGGCACCGGTTTTGAACCGGTGCCAAATAGCAGGTTTTTGGCACCCCTCAAATAGGCAGCGGTTCAAACCGGTGCCTTAGACCGGGTTTGAACCGTTGCCTAATGCTTTTTTTTCTACTAGTGATAGTTGGGGTTAAGGCCGTGTCCGAGTAGGCGGCACGCTCCCGCTGCTTATGCCGAAGGTAATCCCTTGCGTCCTTCCATCGTCTGGACGGCTCAGGCTCCTCTCCTCGAGGCTGCCTACCCCTCCCCCCAGCCGACTGTGTTTTCGCCAGAAAATCAGAGAAATTAGT